GGGACTTAACTCTATGTTGGCATGCTACTGGAATATCACACTGCAACAACTTTTTTTTTTTTTTTTTTTTTTTGGGCAGAAAGGGCATGTGGAAGCAACTGAACTTGGATGTATTCACTAGAGGTGAACATGTGCCTGTCACTGAAAGAAAGATTTCTGACAGAAGCCAACTCAGGGGAAATGAAGAATATAATTCACTCTTTTTGTTATCTTTCTTAATCCCTTTGCAAAACCAGTTCCAGTGATATAAGAATCAATCTCTGTATTATCTGAGCTGTGGGTTTGTAAGCAATCCTATTTCAAATCATGTAGTTTTCAAAGGATCACTAAAAATACACAAATGGAAAAAAAATTTAAAAGAGAATTAGTGCAAATGGTCTAATGTTTTAAGTAAGGACTAGGTGAGCAATGATTAAATATGAACTTATTTCTATTTAGGAAATATTGTAACTAAAGAGATGTAGTTCTTGTCAATGAAAATTGTTATAATAAGCCCTTTATCTTGTGAAAGATCTAGCAACCATTAACATTTAGTAACAACATTACAAAAGCAATTGGTTAGATGTGTAAAGTATACTCTATTCATGATTCTTTGAGATTAAAAAATTATATTATCTGGAAGGAAAATCCTTCAGCATTAAAAAGTTTAATTGGGTATTACTAACATATCCAAATGTATATGTATTAGATGTGTTAGATGATTAGACATATTAGATTAACCAATTCCAACTTGATGTCCCACATCTTTAAGGCAAATGGAATTTTATAGATCATTTTATTCTATGAGAACTAAACCTCAGACTATCACAGGAACTCCTCATTAGCGAAGTATATGGATAGAGTTTTGGACATTTTAATACATGGAAATAATCAATACCGAGAGATGGACTGATTTTGAGATATTGGGATGGTAGCACCTATTGGTGTAGTCCCAAGTAAAGAAGCAGAACTAGGCAGGCAAATCCCTCAGATCCATGGGCTTTGGCCAGTTCTTTCTCAAAACAAAGGCTAGTTTGCATGAGAAAGGGAAATTCAGAAAATATTGGTAAAGAAAGCCAGCTAAGCAAAAATAAGCAGCTTACAATGGAAGTTGACCAGGTCGAATGGTTTTATCTGAGGAGAAATAGCTACTGTTTTCTCCTTTATTCATAGCAGAAAACATTTTTAATGAGCCCTGAATCCTCCCTCTCCACCTCACCTGTCCACTGTTCCTCTGTCCCTCTATTCCCTGTCTACCTGCACCAGGTACATGGCAGGACCAGGGCAGCAGGAACCTCATGTACTCATGCTATTTGCTGCATCCTCTAGCTGATTTAGGTTTTTAGTTTTTTTTCTTCCTCCTCTCTTGTTTGACTAACCTATTCACTATGGAGAATCAAATTAGCATATAACAAATTCTAAGAATGACTCAGGATTTCTTATTTTTCACAATCATTTTTAGAGTAATTGGGTGGATGACAGCAGAATCAAAATTTCCTGAGATGAGCAGAAAATTGACCAGGAATAGAATTTTTGTTTTTATTTTTCCTAAGATGTTTGAAATAACTTTTAGCTTGCTTGAAAGTTCCAGATCAATCTAGAAATCAGGTTGGAAAAAAGGAAAACTAGTTTAAATATCACCAGCAGTAGAAACTTCCCATATTTTCTGTAATTTTCTTGGTAATGAAGAGACTAGCTATATCTTCACACTGTGAAAAAGAGTTCTGAGAGGAGATGGAGCAGTGGAGCTTAAAGAGATCTGCTAGATTAACAGGGAGCCCATAACAAGGACAAAGATGATCTTTGAACATCTTTGATCAAGATGATCTTTGAACATCTTTGATCAAGATGATCAAGGAAAAAAAAGATCTTTTCCCACCTTATGACACTTTTGACAATAATGTGCCATAAGGACAGGAGGACTCTGACAGGACTTGCTTCTCTTCAGATAGCTTCACATGTCACAGTTTGATCCAAGGTACCCCACTCTTGATGCAGTGTGTTATTAAAGCTTCTGCTGTAGTATCAGTGTCATGATCTTACCAGTGACAGTGTCATTTAGTGGCTTTTCCCAGTCCAAGATGACAAAGGAGGGGCACCCTTCCACGGTGACCACCGTGAGGTTGGTGGGTGGGTTCTGTGGTGGGCTGGTGGCATTCCCCTCCATGCCCTCCTCTTTGGGGAACCGTCTGACGGAGTCGGTGATGGAGCAGGGCCTGTTGTCAGGCTTTTGGATGTATCTCACGTGAGGGCCTAAGGGAGAGAGGACACTGACGTTTAGCAGTTTTGGAGCTTGTGAAGAAGGTGGAGGTGAGCTCATACATGTAATTATCTGTTCGAAGACATCTGGTCTGACAAGCAGGTGGTTGAAAGCAGTGATGTGGATGTTCAAACTTGGAAAAATACAAAATCCTGTCTCTAGGATACAAGGTATCAAAGCAAACTTCTAGAGATAAAAACTACATGTGTAAAATGCAGGAAACAGTAGAGAGAATTAATAAACTAAGACACTGCAACATAAAAGATTAGTGAACTCGAAGACACACTGACAAAAACTATCCAAAATAAAAATGGAGATAAAAATAGAATTAAAAATAATGAACATCAGTTAACTGTGGGACAACTTCAAGTGGTCTCATATACATGTGATTGGAGTATCTGAGGTGAAGAAGGGAGGTGGGCAGAAAAATATTTAAATGGCTCCACATTACCCAAATATGACAGATAAAATTTCTAAACCCACAGATTCAGAAAGTTCAAAAACACCTAAGCACAACAAACATGAAGAAAACTATGCCAACTATAATCAAGTTTCTCAAAACGGGTGATAAAGAGAAAATCTTAAAAGGAGGAAGGGAAAAAAGACATTGTACGTACAGAACAACCAAGATAAGAATCGTGGCAGGTTTCTCACCAGGAAGAATGAGAGTGAGAAGGCAGTGGAGCAGCCTCCTCAAATACTGAAAGAAAAACTTGTCAACTAGAAGTCCATAACTAATGCAAATATCTTTTATTTTATTATTTATTTTTTGTTTGTTTTGGTGGCTGGCTGCTAAGGGGATCTGAACCGTTGACCCTGGTGTTATAAAACTGTGCTCTAACCAACTGCGCTAACCTGCCAGACCCCCAAAATATCTTTTAAAAAAACAAAAGCAAAATACTTTTTTAAAAAACTTAATGAACCTGTAAGAATTAATTACCAGCAGACCAACATTATAAAATATATTAAAGAAGTCCTTCAGGTAAAAGGAAAATGATACCAGATGGAAACATGGATCCATACAGAGGGGTGAAGAGCAACAGAAATAGTAACTGTGTAGGTAAATGCACACAATATTTTCTCATTATTGAAGCCTCTCTAACAAATAACTTATTGTTTAAACAAAAATGAAGACAATTTAGTGTAATGTATATAACATGGAAAAGTAAAATGTATGGCAGCAATAGCTGAAAGCCAGGAGGAAAGAAAGGAGCTATATCAGTGTAAGGTTCTAATATTGTATGTGAAGTTGTAGATTATCACTGGGAGGTAGACTGTGATAAGTTAAAGATGTGTATTATGAGTCCCAAAGCAACCACTAAAATAACAAAACAAAGAGTTACAGCTAAAAGACAACAAAAAAGATAAGATGGAATTATAAAATATTTAATCTAAAAGAAAGCTGAAAAAGAAGAAAAGAGGAAACAAAGAATAGATAAGACAAACAGAAAAAAAATAGCAAGATAAAGATTTAACCTAACAGTATCAATAATCATATTAAATGTAAGGTTCTACAAATGCAAAATAAAATGCTGAGATTGTTAGATTGAATAAACAGTCAAGACCCAACTATATAATGCCTATAAGAAATACACTTTAAATATAAAGAGACTAATAGGTTAAAAACAAAAGGATGAGAGAAAGATGACACTAATCAAAAGAAAGCTTGAGTGGATTATATATATATATCAAATAGTTAGATTTTGGAGCAAAGAACATTACTAGAAGCAGAAAAGGTCATTCATAATCATAAAGCATCAATTAATCAAGAGTTTATTATAATCCTAATTAGGTCTAAACCTAAATACAGACCTTTAAAATACATGAAGCAAAAGCTGATAGAATTGCAAGTAAAAATAAATTCACAATTATAGTCAGAGATTTCAATACTCTTCTCTCATTAATTGGTATAAGTAGACAGAAAATCAGTAAGGATATAGAAGGACTGCAAAAAACAGCCAAGCAACTTGACCTAATTCACATTTATAGAATAGTTGTTATGAATTGAATTTTGTTCCTCTAAAATTCATATGTTGAAGCGCTAATCTCCAGTGTGACTATATTTGGAGCTAGGGACTTAAAGAGGTAATTAAGGTTAAAGGAAGTCATAAGGGTGGAGACTTAATTCAATCTGACTGGTATCCTTAAAAGAAGAGGAAGAGACATCAGGGTTCCCCATGCACAGAGAAAAGGCTGAGTGAAGATGAAGGTAGCTACCCACAAGCCATGGAGACAGGACTCAGGGGAAACCAAACCTGCCAATCTTAGATTTCCAGCCTTGAGAACTGTGAGAAAATAAATTTCTATTGTTTAAGCCACCAAGTCTGTGGTATTTTGTTATGGCAGCCCTATCAAGTTAATTCAGCACCCCATTTAAGAATAGGAGAATACACATTCTTTTCAAGTATACACAGATCTTGTACCAAGATAGGCCATGTTCTGGGACATAAAAAAAAAGTCTCAACACATTTAAAAGGATTGAAGTAATACAGAGTATCAGACCACATGGAGTCAAATTAGAAATCAGTAAGAGGGACTGGCTGGTTAGCTCATTTGGTCAGAGTGTAAAAATCCCCAAATATTTGGAAATTAAATAACACTTCTAAATAATCAACAGGTCAAAGAAGAAATCAAAAGGAAAATTAAAAAGTATTTTGAAGAATAAAAACAGATACAACATATCAAAAAAATTATAAAATGGATGGATCTCCAAATTACTATACAGAATAAAAGAAGCAAGACAAAAAAAAAATACTTCATACTATGTGTTTTCATTTTCATAAAATTCCATAAAGTGCACAATAATTTATAGTATAGCAGATCTGTGGTTACCGAGGGACTGGGGGATGGGCAGGAGGAGTGAGAGGGAGGGATTACAAAGGATCATGATGAAACCTTTGGAAGTGATGCATATGTTCATTACCTCGATTGTGATGATGTGTCATGGGTGTATAATATGTTAGAATGTATCAAATTTTATACTTCAGAAAAATATACTACAAAAGATGGATATATATAATCAATTATGTTTCATAAAATAGTTAAAAAATATTTAAAAATACTGCAAAAGGAAATAATGGGCTCTATATCATATTTTATCTTTCCTACTGTGATAGATCACATTATTCAAAAATATTCTCTATGTCCATGGGAGGAGTATACTTCCCCAATCATTGATTTGAGCTTGGATATGTGACTTTTTTTGGCCAATGAACATTGGCAGATATAACACAAAAAGAAGCTTGAAATGTGTTTATGTATTTGGATGGCCCTTTGCATTGTTATGGGAATATATTGTCTCTCGAGTCATTGTTGGTTCTTCATCCTGGACACCAGAATGAACACATGTAGCATGAACCTGAGCCCAGCCACAAGAGGCCCAGCTGTACCTGCTGCTACAAGCAGAACCACCTAGGCAAGCACTAAGATTTTGTGGTTGTTACACAGCAATAGCTGACTGATACATACACCAAAAATAGCCTTGTCAAAATGGAGATTTGAAGCCATTAAAACATACCTTTGTATCTGGGCTTCCCAAGAGGATCTGTTTCTCTTGTTGGACTTGAGCTAAAGTCAGTTATATTACCTGAGAATAAAAGATAATAAACAATTTTGGCAAAAAATAAAAAAGCTTCATGATACCATAAATAAGCAGTGAAGACTGAAGATAGTCAATATTCCTCCTATTAAATTGCTTGAAGCTTTGATTTCCTTTATTATACATATTCATCCACAGTAAAAGGCCTTTGTGTCCTGTGCAAGGTGTTCTGGAATGTAATAAATAATGAAGGAAGATCCAGAACTGAGACTTTTCTCCCTGTAATTTGAAATATTTTAGGACCATGAAATAAGCATCCAGTGAGAACTACTAACATACTGACCAAGTTCTTCCCCAGAGGCAGGAGCTGTTGGTTGCTTTCTCTCTGTCTCTGTTCTCTCCGAGCGGGGTGGCGTAGGTCTGAGCGTTGCCCTCAGGGGTGGGGAAGTTACTTGGCCTGATGAAATGATTCCTGTAATGCAGAGCCGAAGTAGCCAGCCTTTATAGGAGCACTGCCAAATTTCCCATTTGTTTATTCAATACATGTTTATAAAGCACTTACCATGTGTCTTGGCACTATAGGCCAGGTTTGGAGAGAAAATAAGATCTGGTCCTTGATGAAGATAAATGAGTGGGCCAAGTACATAGAAGCATTACAGGTATTGTGAAAGAACTAGATAAGGTCACAGAGGGGCAAGAAGTGGGAGTGTTTATGTTTATGGGGAAAGATGGAGGGTGTTGGGTGGGGAGGGTAGAAATGTCTTCACAGAGGACATGCTGGTAAAGAGGAGAAATGATCAGGAGGCTGGCATAAGAGCTGTATTCTAGTCGGAGGCTGCAGCAAGAACCACGTCAGGGAAGCCTGAAACAGCCTGGTGTTTAATTTGAAGGGATGAGTCAGAGAGGGCCTGGGCGCAGGGAGAGCTGAGAGTGGAAGAGCGGGGAAGGGCAGATCATAAAAGAACTCGCATACCATGGATTTGGATGTTATTTTTAGGCAATAAGGATACGCTGAAATATTTCCATAGGGAAGTGACAAGATAAGATGAGAAGACGAACGGCCAGGGCGCAGGCTGGTTGGGGAGAGAGACGTCAAGGGCGTAAAGCAGCTGTGGAGGTGGGGAAAGAGGAGGCAAACTGCGGCAGAAGCAGTGGGACTGGGTCAAGGGGGTAGACATCAGAGATGTCAAGGAGATGGGATGGCCTAGATGGGAAGGCCTGACTCAGAGATTCACTGGCAGGCATGGGAGATGGCTGGAGAAGAAGGAAAAGGATTCCTAGGGTCATCCATGTTTCTGGCCTGGTGGCAGAGCAGTGCTACTTTGAGCTGCTATATTCAACAGTGACTCCTCTACTCTAAAAATATTGATAAGTCTTTAAAACTGGGTCCATCCCAAGTTCCAGGCAACTCTACTCTAAACTCCCAAACTTGCCTGGACTTGCTGGATTAGATTTTATATTCCTCCTGGGACAAGGAATCATTCTCCGGCAGGCAGTCAAGGGATACAAGCCTGACCTAAGGGGTGAAGGGATACAAGCCTGACCTAAGGACCACGGCCCAGCACAGAATCACGGATGAGGCAGTCATACAGGCTGCTGCTCCGGCCCCTAGGGACTTGTGCTCCTGGTCCTGGTGGGAGAAGGCAGCAAAAACCGAGAGAGGTTGCCTGCATGAGCTTTTCAGAGTTGGCAGAGCCAACAGGAAATGCTGGGATAGCATTTTCACCCTGGCAAGGAGAGGGGAATCAGAGGCCTCAGTAGACCTGGAGAGAGGGGACAAGTGACAGATGCCACATGGCAGCCTAAGACTGTGCTCAGCTCACAGATGAGGACTCCCAGACATTAGGTGGACTTCCTGAAGTGGATGGTGGAGGGTTTGGAGCAAGGATCAGGCACGCTGAGGCATCACTTTCAGTCTGTGACTCATCCAGTTTGACCTGAAAGCTGCTGGTGCTCAAGTCACAGTGGCCCCAGGTTTTAATTAATGAGGAAAATATTGTGTCTTCACTCAGGTCATGTCCCTGGGCCTCGACTCAGAAAGGCACCAGGAGCACAGATGAGAAAGGCTGATTCCTCCTGCAGCTGATGGGAAAAATGATCTGGAGTTCATTGTGCACATGAGACATCATAAAAGCATCTCCATGACAGTGTCCTCCTTTCATCCTGTGTAAAGGGTGACACGCACGGCCTTTCACATAAACCTTATCAGTTTCACCTTTCACAGCTGTCTTTTTTATTTTCTTATTCTGATGCCACCTACAAAATACCTAGGAAACAGAGATTCAGGGAGAGAGAGGAAAGATGGGGAACATGCTGTGATTTGCTGGCAGGTCCTGGGGGAAAAGCCCTTAATAGAAATGAGGTAGAGCTTTGCTCTGAACTGGGTCAATTTTTACTCATCCACTAATTTACTTAGTTATTGCTCATCAAATATCCTTGATGTGCTGTGCACTGGATTTTGGTTCTGGGAATTCAGAGAAAATAGACCAGGGACTCTGTCATCACATAGCTCCCAGTCCAGCAGGGGAAGACAAGCATGTAAAGAAGCAGGAATAACACAGTTTGCTCTTTGTCTAACAGAGGTAAGTATCAAGGATGTGTAGAACAGAGGAGCAAAGCTAAGACTGGAGAGGTAGAGAAGGTTCTAGAAAAGGATAAAGTAAGAGTATCCCAGGTGACTGGGAGGGGTCTTTATATGGGGACAAGCAACCTGCACAAATGCATGGAGGTGTGAGACAGCTAGATTTCTGAAATATCTTCCTGCCTGGCTGCACAGGCCAGGCGTGCCCAGACACCTTCAATATTTTAGTCCCAAATCTTCCCTTGAGCACCATAATATTGGGGCTGGTATGAAGGCTGCTGGACAGGGGAGCTTTCAATGAGATGTGTAGGATTTCACTGTAGGAGGAAGAATGATATGCTGATGACAGAATGATACCCCTAGGGGCTTGGCAGCGTACAGCATCGCTTCCAAAATCATGCACTTGTTGAAGGGCCTGTGTCAGCATCTGTCTAGGCTCTGAGCACACAGACACCTCTGAAGCAAACTGGCCTAGATGCAGAGGGATGGTTCCTTTCACTCCACCCATCCAAGAGTCTGGCTGAATCCTCAGAGCTGTCATTCACAGCGTCTGGTCTTTGGGGTCAACACAGCATGTGTCACACATACCAGTGGCTTGCCATTGCCCAACCTCACACCCCAAGAAGGGCTTGTGATTGACAAGGAAAACTGAAATCACGCATGGAGTAGGAAGGTATATGGCAGACGTACCTGCACTTCCTGGCTTTCCAGTGACATTATTTGGTGGCAAAGGTTTTCTTCGCGGGGGCATAGGTCTAGGTGGCAAGGTTGGGCGGCGAGTGCCTGGGACTGTGGCTACAAGATTACATTACAGATAAAGCCATCATAAGAATTTACTGTACAAAATCACAGTTTTTTTTAAATATAATGTTTGATAAGTTGAAGTTGGATGGCACAATAGATTCTATAGAAAAGTGCAATCAATAATTTACTGAACTTTCAAAAGGCAGAACAGAACTGAGGCCACCAGAGTTGGGAAATGGGAAGGGGGAGAGGGGTTAGGAAGAAATTGGAAAAGGGCCACAAAAACTTGTTACATTGTGTATATTACATTGACTATACTAATTATCCTGATTTGAGCATCACATATTGCAGTTATTGATATTCGACTCTGTACCCAACAGATATGTATAATCAATTATGTTTCAATAAATAATAAAAAAATGAATATGAGTAATATATTCTGATATTTCTCTAAATTAATATTGGTCATAGACCAGGGGCCAATAAAGCACATTTATATATGAAAAACACATCCTCTATTTATATCTGCCTTTTGAAAGGCTGTGTAGATGTACAGAATTTAACATCTTTTTTTAGTCTTTGACATCTTTTTTATCTCACTTCACAACATATTTTGCAGAACCTTCCCCATCTGTATATAAACATCTGTCTCATCTTTTTTTAAACAGCTCTAGTATTCCATGATATGGATGCACCATCAGTAAGTAAACCATTCCCCTGTGTAAGACTTTAAGATTATTAGCAATCTTTTTCCCCAACATTTTTAATAAAAGTTTTCAAATGTATACAAAAGTTGAAAGCATTTTACATCAAACACTCCCAGGTGTCCTTGTGCAGTGCGCAACCACCACAACTGTTCATGGTGGCCCTGTTCTCCACAGGCACAGGAGAATTTTTTCTGCCATCAGGGTTACTTTGACGAGATCAGCTGAGAAGTTCTAAAGATGTTTGCTTAATTATAATTATGCAATAGAGCTGGAGATGGGGTAGAATAACCAGAAAAGAAGAAATTATATGCTTTAACAATTTTAAGCTAAAATGGTATAAGAAATTGTAGTCTTAAAATGAAAGGCAATTGGGGATAATGAAGTTCAGAAATTCTGCTACTAAGTCTGTATAGGAAATAAAAGATGTTAAATTCTTCATTTGTGGGTGGTTGTGCACTGCGCAAGGACACCTGGCCATGGTGGTGTAAGTGGGAGCTAAAGTTTAGCACCCATTCTGCTCACCCATCCATGAGTTCTGGTGCAAGGTTGCCAGCCCAGAGGAAGTGCAAATTTTTCTAAGTGATCTATTTAAAGGGTAAGGGAAAAAGGCACCTTTTAATAATTTGCACAAAGGTTTCTACTGACAAGGCTAAAGGTGCTTGGAGCAGTCCACCTTAAGTCCAATTTTGCTTCTAAGTCTTGTGTTATAGCTTAAAAATCTCTCTCTTTCTTTGTATAATATATGATGGTTTTTAGATCTTCAAGTAAAACAGTCAATCCAGGGAAATTCCCCATGGCTTTAAGTACTTCTGGGTATTGGGAAGAGAGAGAGTCTGTGTGTGTGTGTGTGTGTGTGTGTGTGTGTGTGTACAGGGGACTGGTGGTGATAGAGACATGAATACACCACAGTAGGTTTCACAACATCCTTTTAAAAAGCAAAGAGTCCTTATTCAATGCAAAGGTATTCTGAATTTCCAGCTTCATTATTTTGGCCTATTACATAGAAAAAACTCTTAAATCAGCACCGCACTCTCCCGAGTGAGCCACAGGCCGGTCCTTACATAGAAAAAACTCTTAAGTCAGGAATATAAATCATTTCAGGCAGAAGGATATTATAATAAATCACACATAAGCAAAACTTAAACATCATAAAAACTAAAACCCACAGTGATTCTGCAGCATTTGTTCATTGTGGCCCCTCAGAATATTATAGAAAGTAATTATTAAGTTAGTATCCCATTAGAGGTTCTTACTAATATTTAATTTGTACACAGGGAACTTTTCATTCCCTCAAAGATAATACTTTGGAATGTTTCTCTAGCAATACCTGGGTACTGTTAGCATGGTTCTGACACTTTTGGGGCTGTGCAGATGTTGCTGTTTTTGCTGCAATAAATCATCCTGTAAGACTGTGCGAGGTTCAGAGCTGAGCTGCCCTAAGAGTCAGCATCCTATCCTATTCCTTACCTGGTTTTTTCGTGGAGTGGGTAGAGTCCACTGACACATTTCTACCAGCACCTGACGGCTTGGGTGTCTGCTTGACCCCTATGAGCAGAGATAATGAAAGAGAATAAATATATAGCAAAAATGTGCTAAACATTCTTCTTTATGGAAACTTGGTAATAATGTGCATTCTTTGCAGAGCAGGGACATTGGTGTTTTTATACCCAGATGTTTTAATTGGCTTCCACTATCTGGACTGGATACACAAAAAATTCAAAACCCTATATCTACTGGTTGTCATATTTTCTCTGTAGAGTTAGCATTTGATTGTGGATTGTGGTTTTGTCACAATTTTCTATGCTACTCATCCTGTATTGCCTTCCTGGGTGGTATTGCCTGACCAGGCAGAATTTCATCTATGGTTGTTTTACCAATATTCATGGGTACACTTTATGGTTATTTTTTTTTAAACCCTCCAAATCTTCCATGCCCATTAAAAAACCTTAGAATTCCAATGTGTTTGAGTTGATACTTAACAAATTGACTTTAAAAATATTCCTCGTGAGGCTTTGGCTATCTTTACCTCTGGGATTTGTGATTTAGTCCTGGGCAGGCCTAGAACTCTGAATTATTGTTTGGAAGAAGCTGATCTGATAATTACTTTGCTGAGATATGTTGTCTCCTAAGTCCGTGAAAAAATCATAGAGGTTATTACTTGGCCATTCGCCTAAATACCGAGGCATGGATTTTGGGTAGCTATACTAGGGTGGAGGAAACCAATTAGATTTTATCCTTTTTTTTTCCTTTTTGTCTTTTTTCGTGACTGGCAACGGATCGCAACCCTCAG